GGCGAAGTCGAGGTGTGTGTGTGTGTGTGTGTCTCTGTGTGTGATTCCTTGCTAAGATTCGATCCATTTCCTTCCCAAATCGCCGAATTAGGTGCCCGAAATGCATCTGTGTCATTCTGTGATTTGAGCGCGCGCACACACACACACACACACACACACACACACACACGCGCGCGCGCAGAAGCACGGATGCACGCACGCTGCCGCTGCACACGCACATCAAGGGATTGAGCACGAGAGAGAGCTCGCAGGAATCAAGCGAGAAGGAGGGAACAAAAGAAAGAGATGGTGACAGATGGCATCCAGATTGGCCGGAGAAGGAGAAGGAGAAGGAGAAGAAGAAGAAGACGGCGATTCGAGCACACACGCACGCACACACACACACACACACACACACACACACACACACACACACACACACTGTGGCATGGACGCATGCACGCTGCCAGCGCACACACCGAGCGATCGAGCGAGAGAGAGACCTGGCGGGAATCAGGCAGGATGGAGGGGAACAAAAGAAAGAGATGGTATCAGATGGTATCTAAATTTGGCCAGAAAGGAGAAGGAGAAGGAGAAGGAGAAGACGAAGAAGATGGCACGAGGAATGTACTGTCTCTATCAAGATGGATCCCGAGGGAGGGAAGGAGGGAAATAAAAGAAAGAGATGCTAACAGATGGCATCCAGATTTGGCAGGAAAGGAGAAGGAGAAGGAGAAGAAGAAGGAGAAGAAGAAGGTAAGCAATGGCCACATTGCTCTTCACACGCATTCCATAAAAAAATCGTTTCTTACATACACGTGTACATCGCTCAAACGCGCACGAATTCCCGTACATGTTTCAACCGGGTGCGCCCCGGTCTCCTCCGGAGGCTTTCCGCGTAACCCTTTGCCCGTCGGCCCACCTCACTCTAGCACCCACAGAAGGAGAAGGAGAAGACGAAGAAGATGGCACAAGGAACATACCGTCTATATCAAGATGGATTGTGAGGGAGGGGGGAAAAMAAAAAAMAAAAAAAGGGATGGATCCCGCCATTATCCCAGAGGAAAGATAACGTGTCACACAGGTCGAAGATCCTGCATGCATTAAGATCGATCACAAATGGGAAAGAAGAGAGGTGGAGGAGGAGGAGGAGGAGGAGGAGGAGGGGGGGGGGAAAGGTGGGGACGAAATTATGTTGACATTCGATTGAGGAAGAAAATACCGCAACTGCGACCCCGACTTCAAACCCCGATCGGGGAGGGAATTGGTGGAGGAGGAGGAGGAGGAGGAGGAGGAGGAGGAGTGTGATGCCATGCACGTGTGCGAGCAGAGGAGGAATCACATGCAGATGGATGGCACAAACAGGAAGGAGGAAGAACGAGAACGACGTCTGGGCCAATGGAAACGAAGGAGGGAGCACCAGGAGCGGCCTCGACGAGGACGCACAACAACGAACGGAACGGAAAAGACGGGGAGAGAAGTGACAACCAGGGGCTCGGTCCCACTTACACGAATTAAGCGATATTGACTGTAGATACCAAAGATCAACGGCCAGATTCTCGTAATCCGTGCAAGTGGGACCTTGCCCCAGGAGTGGACGAAACAGGGGAACGGGATGACGAAGATGGATGGGGGGTGAGGGAGGGTCGACGGGGACGAAGATGGATGGAGGGGGGTGAGCGAGGATCAACGGAGGAGGAGGGAGAATGAACAGGAGGAGAGGGGATGACACGGTGTACAAAACTGAAACCATATCGTTCATACGTTCTATCGAGAAGACAACAAAACAGCACATCTCATGCGGCTTCTTTCTTGCCTCATTGACTTCATCAATCAAGCCTACCGTAGTACTGGCCTGCTGATCTCTCCTATCCGCAAATCGGCTCTTCACGCAACTCATACTATCGATTCCCACCTCAGAAACGAGAGATGAAAAGAGAGGAATGTTGTAAAAAACAAAAAAAGGAATGCACGGCAATATATATAGTCTGAGCATGAGAGTTGGGATTCAAAGATACACCGATGAGCAAGCATTCCATTTAATCGGCCAGTACTCGGCCCCCTAAACTCGTGGCCTATCCGAAAAAGTCGGCGCGCCGTCGATTAAAGAAATCGGCGACGGGCGTCTCTTCTTTTTTTTTTTTTTTCTGTGAAACAACCCGAACAGATGCTTAGGGATGGTGGTACGAGCGGGCACCATTAGCACTATCGGGGAGGCTCCATCTATTGGTGGGAAGCAGCACCTGCTGGAAAGGGGGTCCAGCGTCCCTTGTGGCCTCTGACACGGCCCCGCGGCCGATGTGAGGCTTGTACTGGTGTCTTTTTCTTTTTTTTGTACTGATATACCGCGAGGACGCGGGCCCGCAGCCCGTAGTGCCACCGGGAACCCAGGGTAAGGTCCCACTTGCGCAAATTAGGAGATTTCGGCCGTCGGTCTTTCATATCTACGGTCAGTATCTCTTAATTCGTGCCAGTGGGACCTAGCCCCCGGTAGGAGTGAAAGCATGCGGGACTGAGCCGTACAGACCCAAGTTCGAACCCAGAAATCACCACTGCGTGCCTTCTCAGAACAAGTGCCGTAATCACCACTGCCTGCTTCATCACAACAGGTGCCATGCCTCCCAACAACAAAACAGCAATAACCGTAAGGCCACAACACCACAACACTAACCGTAAACCCTCACCATTATCCTTGTCTCTACAACAAGCAACCCAGTGCACCTTTGCTCCCTCCCATCCTCCTCCTGTGAGATCAGCCTGCCGACTACGGGCTCACTACTCTCACCACACCACACACACAAAGGCGAAATGTGTCACGGCCATGGCAATGCACTCTCATGAGAACGCATTGCAATCCCTCTATCACAACCCGCACCTCACCACCGTCACCTCTGCAATCCCGCTGTCAACTCAGCGCACAACCTCCCGTCATAGTTGCATTGTGGCAGTGTGCCTCATCTGGATGCCAACGCAATCGCACGCCGTCGCAGTGAGAAGCCGTGAGAACAGAGCTTTCCTCCCCTCCCTGGACCACTCAGCGCTTCCCGCCTCCCAACCCCTTAGATGGTAGCCCTGTCCCATCCCACCGTCCTCCGCCTCTCAGCGGACCACTGCCCTTTCCGACCCGCCTGTTCATTCCGTTTCGTTTTTCTTTTCGGGCTTGTCTACGTCTGCACATGGTCGGAAAGGCTGTCATGTGCATCACGCAAAACGACAATCTGAACGTGGAAAAAACCCTTTCTTCTCTCACTAACCGTTTCACGGTCATCTCGGCACTCTGTGGACCACACACGCCCGTTTCTTACTAAGTGTTTTGTAAAATGAGAAAAAAAACTGCATATCGTCGGAAAGGCTATCATGTACATCGTGCAGAATGACTTGATCCCTGTGCCGTCCCGCCGTCCTCCGCCTCTCAGTAGACAGCTGCCTTTTCCGACCAGCCTGTTCATTTTTTCCCGTTTTTCTCGGAAAGGCTGTCATGTACATCACGCAAAAAGACAATCTGAATGTGGAAAAAAGGCTTTTTCCTCCGGCTTACCCTTCCACTGTGATCCCGGCACTCTGTGGACCACACACGTCCGTTCTTACTACATGTTTTGTAACATCTGAAAAAAAACTGCGTATAGTCGGAAAGGTTACCATGTACATCGTGCAGAACGACCATGTGAACGTGGAAATAAAATGAGAAACAAACCTGCAAATAGCCCAAAAGGCTATCATGTACATCACGCAGAGTGACTATGTGAACGTAGAAAAAAGCCTTCTCGGAAAAAAAAAAACGTCAAAACAAAGCGGGAATTTTTTTTATTTTTTATTTTCCCAACCGCTTTTCTACAACAGCACGAACACGGACAATGCATCATATGTCACATGCTGAACTGAACCTGGACCACATCTGACCATAGGTAAATCCACAATCAGACAGATTCAGGGTATCAATCCAATGGCATGAGAACTCGGCCGACTACTGTTTTACAGAATCTGTGCAGAATCCTATGCACATATATACACATATATACACATATATATGCAGTTACTTACAGTTACAGTTACAGAAAACAAAAAAAGCAAAAAAACAAAAAAACGGCCAACCACATTCTACATAGCACATACACGAACAATACATCAGATCTCACGCGCTGAACCTGGATGCCATCTTGACCCAATTCCTCTTTGGACATGAAAGCTCGGCCGACTACTATTTTGCAGAATCTGTGTAGAATCCTGTGAACATTTTTTTGTTTTTGTTTTTTATAAGACCACGAACATATACATATATACACAGTTTACAGTTACAATTACATACACACAAAAAAAAAAAAAAAAAAAAAAAACGGTTCAACCACATGTGCCGAAAACATACACCACGTGAAAACACCC